GCGATGATACCTTTAACACCATCAAACAACAACATCTGCCTCTCCCAGGTCCTTGGGAAGGACTCAATAGGTGGATAAACATGTCAAACCCAGTCTAAACATCTGGCTGACTGTGTGACCAACAATAATAATAAAAAAAAAATTAAATACTTACTCTGTTACTCTTATGAAGTCACTGCTTGCTTTGCATGTTTCCTCTGTAGCGAATCCAGATACGTAAGCAGCTTTACTTTCTACAAGTGACTCAGAAGAAACTTTAACAATTAATGGGTTATTTGCTAGAGGTTCCATTTTTTCAGATGCTCCTGTTAAGTCTGATTCAAGGTTCTTCAGCTGCTCTTCCTGTGTGTGCTTTTCAGAAATTGCCCTATCAGTTTCCCTGCAAATAAATTGGAAACATCCATTTTGCATATAAAACAGAGTCTCTGAAAGTTTAACCAGGATAAAAAAGGTATTAGGATCATGTCTACTTTTAATGGAGCTAGGCATTTTTCTCCATATAACTGATCCTACCCTTTCACCATGTCACAAATTGCCCTAATGCTTAAATTGTCAGGCAGAAAACAAAACACTTCAAACTTGTTTGGAAGCTATTCTATCCCATTTCACTTTGGGGAAAGGTTCTCATTTGGTTCTGGGAGGAAGATCTACTTTTACTCACATGATTTCTTCACCATGATTTTGTGATGACATATTCTGATTTTCATCCAGTTTACCTCTTACAGCTACTTCACTCTGCAAAGCAACCAAAATAGTATGGTCTCAAGGTCATGATGAAATACACAACAATTGGATTTATATGTTGCGCTAAGCCATCAACTTTTATTCATAAACCACAAAGGTTGGACTTAGACTAAGCAGCAAATAAACAAACCACCTTATGATTTAATGCAATGTGTGAACCAGGTCTACGCTGTGGAAAAAAAAAGAGTAATAAGAGAAATAAAAGGATCAAAGAAAGAGAAATGAAATAATGCCAGAAATAGTTGGAGGAGGTACTATCAGAATGGTGCTGAGATGTTTTCCATCAATCCTAGTCCAAACATCTTGCAGCCAATAATACCCATGAATTTATAATATACCTATAGATTCGGATCCAGGGCCTTCCCCACCTTCTACCTCTGAACACAACAGGCCATAGTCAGAACAGATACCAATATTCAAAATCTGGGTTCACTGACTTTGCTGGAACAGAGCACAAGTCTTTAAAATGACATGTTGTGTAGTGTGAATTTAATATAGGCATTTCTGAAATGAGGAGAATTAGCAAACTGTAATATAGAAATGCTAATAAATATTTTACCTTGGCTTCATTGGCCTTTTCAAAACCTTCTATGTTTTTGTTTGGAGGCATTTGAGACACTGAATCCTGCTCAATACAGTACTCAGAATTAGCCGATGAAATGTCCTCTTCTCTTGATTTACTTTTTTGAACACTGAAAATATAATATATAGAAACACTATTGTTTTCCTTCTTTTCTCAAACTTATGAAGAACTGATGGAATTTCTCTTTTCATACAACGGGCAAGCCTAGAAGACTTATCCTAAAAATTACACAAGCAAGCAGAGTGGCACTATACTATCCAATGAACTATACTAGCGTTTTATGGCCTTACTAATATACAAACCAGTTTTATATATTCTCATATATGAGAAAAGATAATCACTTTTCATAGTACAGGTGAAAATCAAAGCTGACAGGGAAAAACTTCCATCCAGAATAATGACACTTTCACAGAGAAGAAGTATCAGAGGAAAAATGTGTTTGTAGTACACAATAGTGTACACAACAGGGAACACATCAACAACATGCTGAAAATAGCATAATTTACTGAACTAAATCTGGATATATATTTTTATTTCTTAGATTAAACAACAAACATATTGAGAACTAAGTCACATAGGAAAGAATCTTATGAAGAAAATTATAGAAATGTGATGTGCTTTGCAGGATTGCCTTGATATAAAGTCCATGTATAATTGATACCTATGGTCTTTTTCTGCCTCTTCATTCAACGTGATACAGCATGATGATTCTTCTTTATCCATGATAAGAGTTTCATCAGGGATTGTTCTGTTAGGGACTTCCAGTTCACCACCAACTTTCCCAGTGCCATTCATCTCATCATTAGCTGGTATATTTTTCCCTAAGAACAGATTGTCATGCATTATAAATCTTCTAAACTGACCATAACTGTCAAACATATCCATACTTAAATAGAAGCTGAACCTACAGTTATATTCACAGTAACCATTTTCTCTGAATCAAATTCAATAGTGCTTTATTATGTATTGTCCTGCCTCATCACACAACACACCATACAAAAACCAATCAACTACATTATGGTTTAGCATTGTATGTGAATCAAGCCATACATGTTTAGTCTTCTTCAGTACAAAACCAAAACACTCTGCACGTGCCAGGCTCTTCCCACGTCGATAAACTAATTCAATGGAGTTTACTGTATTTCTTCACTTACATTTGTTATTTTCATTTTGTTATTTTGCACAAGTAATGGGTTGGATTCAGTATGAGTCATCCTCCAGATAAAGTAGAAGAGTTAATGCTGATGGCAGAACAGATAGGATTTTCCACTTCCCCCTTACGCCTCCTTCCCAAACGTGGAGGGCCTGTATAGCAGGGGGAAAGTAGCGCTGGGGATGGTGTACAAAAATGGGGGAGAGGGAAGGAATTAGGCTGCCTTCCACTAGTGGCAGCATTCCAAGTAGAAATCTGTCCAGGAATGATTTGCACTAGTGGAATAAAAGGGAAATTGAATTCAAGTTCAAAAATTAGCAAAATCAAGGTATATATAGTATCTCAGTGATAAGACAGTAGCATTTTGGTTTCTTACTTTTCTTTCTAGTTCTTTCTTCTTCCACCATTTCTGCAGGAATAGTTCTTTCTTCAAGAAGATTCTCTGTCTCCTGTTCAGAATCTTTTTTCCTTCTTTTCCTTTTCTTTTTTGTCACTGTTGATTCAATAACTGTTTGCTCTTCTGCCTGTTCCAAAATGCTAGGAGACTCTTCATTCTCCTTTTCAGCTGTTTCAGCATCTACTTCTATTTCCATGTCAGAAGTTCTACCATCCTGATGTTCATCATGACCATGGTTGGACTGCCCATTTACAACTTTATCTATCAAAGTATACAATATTAAGGCAAGGTATTCCAAATACTAAAAAATAAACTTGTTTAATTAAACCGTATGAACAATATGATAGCATTCTATTTACTGCTCTATATAAACTCGCAACATCTTCTGGTCTTCTAATCTCACCCATACAGAAGTGCTAATTGTTTTAGCTGTACAGAAAATTCCTTGATTTTTCTCAAGATTATGTATAATATATACAAATTCTTCCATCAAAAATTATCAGGAAGTTTAAAGTAGAATTATCAGGATGGTTAAAGTTGATCAATAAAACTTCAAGGACTTGTCCAAGCAGTTGCCAGGACTTAAGACTGACTTGAAGGCGCACACACACACACAAATCAGAATAGCTTCTACACTCAAGTGTCCTATGATTACTGTTGTTGTATTTAATCATTTTCTACTCATATCACATTAAAAACTGCAATGCAGTGACAACATTTGGGAAGATTCTGGGAATGGTATCCAAGATTTTTTGTGGCTGGATGAACCCTTTAGATCTCAAGATATGAATTTCTAATGTTTTACAGAAAAAACACAACATCACCTAACTCTATCAGACTTTTGTAGGCAGAATGCTACATAACAAAGAAGAGCTATTCATGACTTTGCAATCGACTTTAAGTATTCTTAAAAATACCTTTTCGCTTTTTCTGAGATCTTGATGTATTTCTCTTGTTGGAATTTCTATCTTTTTGATGCTGACATCCAGCATCTTTATCTTTCTTCCTCCTCTCATTTTCCAGGACCTTCTCAAGGAGTTTTGTAAATAAACTGAAGTCAAAAGGCCTTTTTTCTTCTGTCCAAAAGGAAGTAATATGATAAGTTACCGAACTATAAAAGATAGCTTATTGTATGCAGTGAGTAAAATATCTATACCACTAACTTCCTTTAGTTCTGTTTATTACAGGAAGTCCTTGCTTATAAAAAAAATCATGTGAATGTGTGAGTTTTAATGTACTGGGATTTAGAAAACATTTGAGCTATTTAAAATTAATAAAATATTTTTTAAAATATTACAGTTAAGGAAGATTGCAGTAGTTAGGTACATATCTATCTGAGAAATGTTACAGGTAAAATCCAATGGTATCTTGGAGGCCATTCCTGCTGATAGACTATTAAAAATGGACTCGTTTTCAGCCTGGAGCCCTCATATTATAGGGTCAAGGGTCAGATTTTGAGAGAACATGGGAACCTGCAAGAACGATAGAAGAAATTCCCCGAGTGATCAGAGTTCTACTCACACTGTATTAGAATACACCCCAGTAATGCAACACATCTTAATTTCAAGAGATGAAATAAGCCCTTCAGCCTGAAATATGTATATAGTGTGAAGATACAGTCCAATGTATTGTTAGTTTATTTTTACTAATGCACATATAAAATGTTTCCAGTGGAGAAAAATAGCAGATAGCAATACTTACTAAATGCTTTATCTATTCTCCATCCATTGACCTTTTCTTCACGCTTAAATTTATTCTGAAAACAGAATGTTGTAGCATGATAGTTACTTTACTGAGAAATGATACTGACTTAAATCCATACTTAATCCTACTCAGAGAATGTAAGGAGAGGGTTGTATGTCTTTATTCCCGTGTATGTATTTTCTAGGTAGCACAGACAGAATTTTTTCATTATACTAGTATCCATAAAGCAAGTTTACTTGAAGAAAAGCAAAGTTAATGCTTTGGATTCATAGCAGAAAAAAAATCTCTCATTTATGATTAAAGCTGCAATTCAATGGGATACACTGCTGAATATACATTTGTCCTATTAGAAATAACAGCCATAATAATGAGAATGACAGTAATATGATAAGTAATAAAAAGA